GTGGATGTGTTTAGGCAAATTTACTCTGCTCAATTTCGATATATAGAGTTTTGAAAAAAAGCTAAGCAAGTTTTAAGCCAAGTGAACAAATGGAGTCAACAAGAAATGTGCTATAGCTAGTTAAATTACACTCAGACTATACAGCTACTATAACTGTAGTTTATGGGAACTGCCAGGAACTAGACTACTGTAACATTAACGGTAATTGCATCGTGAACCATCAAGAATCGTACGTGCAGTGGAACTCTCAGAGTTGACAGGTATTGTTTGTGACTGTGATTTAACACATCCTTTTCTACAAGGCTTTAACTGGAAATTAAAATCAGAATTAGACCCCAGTTAACATTAAAAAATAATGAGACAATAATTCCCTGCTATGAACTGGCAAATACATCTGAAGGGGTAAATTGGTTCAATAATGTCGTCATTACGAGATATTATACTATGAAAGATCAGCAATGAATACATGTCTGTTGAAGATTGATCAGCGGTCAATGGTTCAATGAGTTGATTTGTAAAGACAGCAAAAGTGTTGAAATTGGTTTCAAGTACACAAAGTAAAAAGCCCTTGTAAAGCACGAACTATCACATAAATGAGTGGAAAACTCGCACATTGCCAGTAGTTCATTCTAATTACTATGCAAGTTTCATACCGATAGGTTTATAGTTGAAAATAAAAAACAAGAATTGCATAAATATAAATATCTCAAGATGTATTATCATATGTATGCATGGTGTTTTAAATGTACTTGGCCAATACATATCAGAGAAATGCATGCATTTTGAATAAAATTAAGATTCAATCGGCTATTTTTTATTTACTACGAGATGCCACGATATGTGTAAAATCAAATGTAAAAACACGAAAAAACAAAGTAGCAAAGTCAAAACTTTGTGTGAGATTCAATAAAGGTGAAAGTTTTTTGGGGTATTTGCATGCTTCACAGTATGCTATAGACTTTTTATGATGATCAATTTTGCTGGAGTAAGTGTATCTCAACGTAATACTCCACCATAAAAGATCAGCATTTCAACACTGAACTATAAAAAAAAAATTTAATTTCAAAACCAAATAGTTCGATCCGTGCCTTTCTTACATTATGTAAAATCCTGCAGTGAACAGGAAATCACCTATTCAATTATATTAGAAATAATGAAATTGGTAGACATCTAGATTCAGACCATGAAACAAATGCATGTATGACATGATGTATTAAGAATATTGCATAGTTTGAACATGATTCTGCTCAGCATGTCTGAGATACAGGGATAGACAGACTGATGAATACACAAAAAGGTGAATTCTGTTTTTTTACTTAATCTAAATGGGAACTAACATTAGTTTCACAGACGAGACAGCTGTAACTATATTACAAATACATGATTTCAGATGTACCCAGTGCACTGTACATATACACATTTTCACCTGTATTTCCTTATTTTCTCATCCTTACTGACAAAAAACCTAACTGAGAGCACTGTATGCACTGACATTCTCTGATAGTACAGGAATTCATAACTGAATACTTATTATCAAAATCAGACCTTAAACACAGAAAACAAAACATAACAGGAAGACATTTGTGTATATTAACATTTCTATATTTGACTTTGAAAACAGTGATGTCAGGAAAGGAAATGAGTTTCAATACTGCATTTACCTTCAATATCCAAAGGGGAATTAGAACGACAACATTCATTATACGGAGCAGATGTCCCCTGATGTGTAATCGGATTGTAACATGAGTTATTGCTTAAACTCTGATTGCTGCCAGAGAAGAGCTCTGATGATACAACAAATATATACTAGATACATGTAAGCAAGTAGGCAAATAAGCCTCAACTCCTTGAATGTACTGTGGACATGATCTCAGTTGGCATGTTAAGCTATGGTACTTGGGTTTAATTTTAGTGAAATTTATCTTGCAGGGATACTCTCTACTAAGGATTGTTTGAGAAGAAAACCATACATTCTGGTTAAATTTGCATACCTGTATTTTGTAGGTTTTAATTTAAGTAATTCAAATATCAATGGAATAAGTAAAAAATAAAATCAAGTAAATAATTTATTTCATACATAAGGTTTCATTTTTTTACAGACAATGTAATTTATG